GGATGTTGTGTGGGACAGTGTCGAACGCTTCATTATCATGAAGCAATACCTGTGAAGCAGGATTGTGTGCCCCCAGGAAAAGGAGCTCTATGCGAGAGAAGTCCTCTGTGTTGCAGACACAAACTGCAGGGTGATCTTGTCACAATTTCTTGTGAATCTTTCTGCAGGTGCATGAGAAGGAGTCAGGTCTCTGTATATTTTGCCTCCCAGTTTCCATCCCAGTTTCAACAGGACAGTTCTGTTCAAACGTGAGCCCTGGGACTTCTCATTCAGTGCAGGAAATCGGGGACAACAGAGATGGTTCCTCTGTCTCTACTGCATCACCCAAGCCATTCTAGATTGTCTGGTGTCCCAAGCTGGGTGATGGAGCACAATTCCAAAATAAGAGAACATGCTAACAGGAACTGTGTTACTGTCCAGAGACTTTGCTGGCCTGTATGTGTGGTGATAACTTTTCTCCTGGAACTAAGTTAGGAAGATCAAGTCATGCGTTGTCCACTATACCTGGAATTCTTACAGAATTGGGTTTTGACATGGCTTAACATCATCTGTGCATCATTTCTTAATCTTGGTGGTTTATAGTGTTAAAAACACAGATTCAGCCACCTCAGCAGCAACGAGTTTCAGGTTTCAGCGCTTTCAAGTTTTAACATCAGCAATGGGAAAAGCCTAGAGCCAGAGCAGAAACTTGTTCTTTTGATATTTTCCATTCTGATATTACACTTACCTCCTCTACTTAGCAGAACTAGTGCGATCCTTACCCTTCTCTCCATCCAGCGTCCTTGTATCAGAAGCAGGTTTTATAGATCCCTCGTACAAAGCTGTTCTTGTGTGCAGCTTTCAAAGCAAGGCTGAACACAGCCGTCTGAGTCTGAACAGTCTGCAGCAAGTCTGACTTGCTGCTTTTCTTTCACACTCTTGAAACCTCACCCAAAGGTATCGTAAAGAAGCAGAGATTAGTCCCTGAATTGAAATCACTGTTTTTTTAATAGCAGTATTTCCCTTTGCTGAAATGCTGCCTTGAGTGCTTTAGCATAAGTTGAGTCAAAAAATGCTACCGGCCAGTGACTGTTAAGAGTAGTTTTGCCTTACTAGTTAACAGTTGTGGACTCCTCTGTAGTAAAGAATATATGAAACTCTGGAACTGGCCTTCATAATCATCTGTTTAATCTTGCGAAGTTCTATTGATGGTATTTCTAAACTGTGGCTATGTGTAGTTAAAGAGTCAGCATGCATTTTCACTGTTGTTTCTTTCTCACAGTATTTCAACTCCAGAAGTTGCCAACTAGTGCTTGGGGCTGGTGCGTTACAAGTTGTTGGTTTGAAAACAATCACTACAAAAAACCTAGGTATGGATTTCTACGTTTTAAAATCTCAAAGCTTGTTCTCCTGCCTGTTAACAACAAACAAACACAAAAAAACCCCATACATCTGTGTTAAGCTGCGCTTGGTGGTGCTGTGCATAGAACACAGAGGGTAGTAAGACCTTGCTGGTTAGGGGATAAAACATAAAAGCTAATTAATTGTCTGATTAAGGGATGCAGTAAAATCCATAAAGTTCCTTTGCTGTCTACTTTAAATGTACAGCTTTGCTGTGTTACATGAAGGAAACAGGAACAAACATACAAGCTAGCAAGTTTTCCATGACAATGTTTTGACTGTGGGAAGGTGTAGTTTCTTTTTTGGTGATGACTTTGGCACGCTTGGAAGCTGCTTAGTGTTCAGATCTTGAGACTGGAGGTAGGTAGAGGAATGCAGCCAAACCCCTGTCTCCCTGTGCGTTTTGCTGAGCTGTGCTGTGCTGTCTGCCCCATGGTGCTGTATTCTGTCATGCTGTGTCCACACATAGCTCCTGTGGGTTATAACCACATGTCAATAACGCACAGAGTGATTTCTGTGGGCGGCTCTGGATCAGACAGTCTTTATGTGGCTGAATGTCCTGGCACAGTCAGGTAACTCAAGGACTCTGTGGCTGTGTGCTGAATCCAAATGACGATGTGGGTTAGATTAGAGTTTCTCATTTTCAGCTGAATTGCCAGCCCCAAGTTATCTGTCTGGACTGCTTTAGCTGCTTTGAGGAGCTGGGGAGAACGAGGTGCCCTGCTCCATGCTACAGAAAAGTCTGACATGCTACTCAAGACCCTCAGTTTTAAACTATCTCCTGAAATTAAGAGCCTTTAGTTGATGGTTGAAGCAGGTGTTTAAACTTTCAGGATGTCCTGATCACCAGTCTGCATTTCCCTTTTTGAAAGGGAATAGCTTGAGGAGGATGGGTTGAGAGGGGCCACGAGCCAAAATCTTGGAGCAGACAACACGCAAAGAAAAGCTGGCTCAGGTCTTTGCTCCAGAAGGCTTAGCCAGTGTGGGAACCATGCTGCGGCACCACCATGTGTCCTGCTGCTGGCTCAGGCCCTGTTGGACACAAGAGAAGCTTAGCTTTGGGAATCCTACCGGCACCATGGGCAGGAGCAGGTTATAAGCAGGTCAGCAGTGGCAGGGCAGGGGGGTTGTGTATGTCTTCTGCAGAAGAAATATTGATGCCTTTAGAATGTGGCTGCTGCTGTGGTTAGGTAGCTGATGAGTCAGGTCTTTTGAGATCTCTCCGATGTCCACTTGTGCTCAGTGCTCAAAATGTCAAGTAGACACATAAAGCTTCATGTAAAATGAGTCCCTTATCCCATATTTTACAGAAGCTGGGTGTGATCAGCCAGGTACTAGTCTGGTGTGTTCGCTGGGTGAGGTTTCCCAGTGGAAACAAACACCTCCTGTTTTAAAAACTAAATAAAGGCATGTCAAATTGTGTCAGATCCGTTACTTATGTTAAAAGAGAGATACAGTCTGTGCAGAATGACTCTTCCTGTGTATTAATGAAGTTATTTTTCTTTCCCTCTCTCGCTTCTGGATTTACAGCCCTTTCTTCACGTTGCCTACAGCTAATCGTACACTACATTCCTATTATCAGGGCTCATTTTGAAGCTCGTCTGCAACCGAAGCAATATAGCATGCTCAGGCATTTTGACCACATTACAAAGGTAATTCTTCTGGCATTTCCTAATGAAACACAAAGTTCTGCTTTTTCAACTGTGCTCTGAAGAATATGAATGCCATTAGATAGTAAATAAAACCTGCTTTCTTCCATTACAGGATTATCATGACCACATAGCTGAGATTTCAGCAAAGCTCGTTGCCATAATGGATAGCTTATTTGACAAACTGTTATCCAAGGTAATGATTTATGGAATTAATTATACGATCTCTAAATTTCAACTGGAGGTCTCGTATACAGTCTGGATATTTCAAATGGAGCCATAGACTTTCCTAATCAGGACTTGTTTAAATTTCTTTAAACCGTATCAACACAAAGCTCTGTGCTGTACTTGTGAATGTGTTTTGTCTTTAACATTGGCCATCTGGGTGTCATTTTTCCCCACCAAAAAAAGTTGTTTGTTTACTCCTTCAGCAGTAACTTCAGAAGTGCTTTGCTTGGTGCTTTGTTCTGGCGTTCAGAAACTGAAGTGCTCTCCTACCCTCAGCAGTTTTATCTACTGACAGCTCTTATCTGCAGTCAGGCTGAGCCAGTTCCCGTTTTCTGCTCTTCCCAACGTGCCTCTTTGGCAGTGGGGAATGTGTAATTTCCTGCAGCTGAGGAAACAGCAAAAAACTGCTGAGGAGGATGAGTTGTTTGTAGGGGAAGGCCCAGCCCATCTATTGGGCTGCAGGCCTGGGGACTGAAGGTCTGCACTTAGCAATGTCTGCTGTGCAGCAGCATTAATAGCAGAGCCATGAAGTGCTCTTGGTATTTTGCTTTCTGAGTGCTCATCAGTGGAACAGGTTGGCCCCGAGCTGGATCCACTCAAGGTGGAATGTGCTGACAGGCTGCACTGAGATGGGACCTCCTGGGCCCAAGATCTGATGGATAAAGAGCAGGAGCTTTTAAAGCTTAGTGTTTTGCTTTGGATCTTATGCTCTTTAAAAAGAAGCTGTTCCATAAGATAAATAAATTAATTCTTTAGTGACAGATTTGATTTATTGGCCTGGACCAACCTCTTCCTTCTAGGAGCTTATGAAAAGCACAGGTTGGGGACAGGCTGTTGAGGCCTGCAGGGAGACAGCGGTAAAAGGCAGCATTTCTGCCTTCTTTGTTGTTTCTATTATTTCATTGTTTGTTCTGTGTTGTGCTTTCTCATCTGTTTCTTTGGGCTGTTAAATAGTGTTACCAAATCTTTGGGGAGGGGGGGAAGCCAAAGCATTTAAATGAGGATTCCCTGCCTCCTGTCGTGTTTGCACTTTTTAGAGCATGTTTATGTCCTTTTCTAGAGATCCAAGTAGTTGTCTGCTGCTTTTTTGTTGTTGTTTTATTGGGGTTTCCCCCCATATAAAAATACCTGTTCTATGAAGTAAATTGACTTTTTGATCACTTTACCTCTTATCCCTTGAAAATAAAAGACAAATGCAAGAGTTTAGATTATTGGTCCTGAACAAGTTAACCCCACAACAGACCAATAACACTATTTATGTTCTTGATGGTAGTAAGTATCCATCCCTTATTGTCCTTCCATCTTTACAGCCCATTCTCCCCTTCTGAGCTGGCACGAGATGGACACTGAGAATATTCCCATCCTTTAGAGCTCTTGAAGGCCTGAGTGAGAGTGCCTGGCTCATGCGAATGCAACCCACAGAGTACAGGAGAAAAGGATTGTGTTGATTTTCCTCCATTCCTAACTTACCCCATAATTTGGCTCATCTTGTTCCTGAAATAATAAATTCTTGGCACTGAAGGCTTTGAGGAACATAAAAACAGGAAATTTGCAAATGGGCATGTCAGTGCAACCATGTCACTGTGTCCTTTGGCTTACATGTTTTTGTGAGAATCCATTTCTGTGCTGCCTGGATAAAGTGGTCAACAGCTTTGAAGGGTGTAAATAGGAATGAATAAGCAAGTGAGTTTCACAGCAGTGCATGTCCAGCATGCTTTAAAGACTGACATGGCACAGCCCAGAAACCTGCTTTGTAGGAGAGCAGCAGTCAGGTCCAGTAGGTGGGATATTGACCTGGCACTTGAGTAACATGGGCAAGTTACTTTTGTATTTCCAGGCTGTGCTTCCCTCTGGTTGCTCCATGGAACAGGAGCTGCCTTCACACTGCCATGGGATGAGGCTGTGCACTCAGCGAGGTGTTTCACAACAGCATGGACAGTTCCCAGCATCTGCCTATTAACTCTGGCAGGGAGATAAAGCAGGAACAGGGTATTTACAGCTATAATTAACAAGTGAAAAAGGCGTAGGTTTTTATAAAGGGATAAGTGTGCATGGAAAAAATCCAGTGGGAGTTCTGAGCCTCTCTCGGAGGTTGCTGTCTTGTGACTGTTTGGACAGAAGAGCAGTAAATTTTTCTCTGATCCCTCATGGTATTACAGGCTGTTGACCTTAGCTGCAGATAAAAATGGCCAGCACCTCGCAGGGTTGGAGCTCATGTTTCTTTCTGATGCTGTTGCTTTTTCCCCATCATGATGAAGGGTTTGATGTGTCTGTAGTCATGCAAGAGCCATTGCTGCAGCTTGCCAGTCCCCTTTGGCTTTAAAGCGTACTGGTAAAGAGTAAATTACTGTTGCCTAACTCTCATGTCTTGAGGCACAATCCTGTGTGCTTTGTGGTTATCCCACACAGGGCTCCTGGAGCAATAAGCACTGTTCTTCTGCTACTTCCCCTGTTAAAATTAGGCCATTGGCTTGGCTTTTCATACAGACTTTCTCAAAACTCCCCATTTCTTTTATTCTCTCACACTCAGGCAAGCTTTGATCTCTTTCACAACCCAGCCCAGTGTAAGAGAGACCATCTCCTCCAGTGTGTTTGGTAAAGAATTTAGTTACAGTGATTCAGTTCTTCCAGTGAGTTGTGCAAGGCTCTGTTGGGAAGAATCACCCTACCAAAGGTTCACCTACCAGTGTTTAACCCAGGCCTGTGCTAGCACAGCCTTTCCACCAGGAACTGAAAGGGGATGTTGTTTGGGTTTTTTCTTTGATAAATATGGAGTTTTCAGGAGCTTCCTTTACTTTACGCTTCCCTTTCCTTATTTCCTCAGAAACTGGGATGTTTCTGATCTCAGAGAAGTAGGTTTCTCTCATGAAGTCCTTGAGGGGCACGTTCCTCAGAGGTAGGATTGCTTGTCTGTCATTGACTCACACAAATTGGAAGGAAAGGAGTGGGCCAGCTAGCAGGCCACATGGTGTGCATCTGTGGAGCTGGCACAGTGATTATTCTCTCTGTAGCTGTATTTCACAGGGTAGTGGAAACCAGCAAAAAGCAGTGAGCAAAGAGAAGCAATTCAGGGTAACAAAGATGAATAGATGGAGTTATGAAATCCTCAGATTTCACACTGCTTTGAGTGTTTTTGCTTGCTTATAAAGCAAGAAATGCTAAAAGACTGTACAATGTGAGTCCTTGGCTGAACCAGATCATACCCAGTTTTAATCTGTGATGTCCTAAATGAACCTTGATTTGCGATGGCATTAGCAACACAGGGCTTCAGGTTGGGAGCTTTCCTATATAAACTGTTTTAAAGTGGTAGGAAGGAGTAACTGGTTGTGGTTTTCTTTCCAGTATGAAGTGAAAGCTCCTGTTCCTTCAGCATGCTTCAGGAATATCTGCAAGCAAATGGCAAAGATGCATGAAGCTATATATGATCTCCTCCCCGAGGAGCAAACTCAGGTGAATGTTATATTTGAGATTCATGTAACACCTCCCATGCAAGTGCACATGAACTCGGTAACAGGAGAGACTTCTGCCTTACGTAGGGGGGAGGGGAATTCTTTTTTGAGTCTTTGTGAAACCCACACACTAAAGGGGCTGGCAGCAGTCACACTGACAGCTCGGTCTGAGCTGAAGGAAGTGTTTGGATGTGCAGGGAGAATGATAAGACATGCAAAAGAACTGACTGATGCCAGCGTTTTGAGCTGCCTTTTAGTGCCTGGAGAGGTGAGTCTTCAATTCAGGAATTAGTGCTGAAGTTCTACACAAATGGCAACACTTTGGGGCTTGAGTACAGCCCTTTTAGAGAATCCTTCTGAAAGGCTGCTCAAACGTGGTGGCTTTTGAAGGTCCCTGGATGTGTTATGCAGCCAAGTTGTACCAGGTGTGTTTTTCGGGTGTTTTGCTGTGGTTATTGCTACTGCAGAGTTGTAAATCTAGTGACAGGAAGGACTGATTCAGTCACTGAATACACCAAGTTGTAGCTTCTCTTTTGCACTGATTTAAATGGTCCCTTCAAACCATTTTTCTCCTGGAAAAAAGACTTTAAGTAGTTACAGTACAGGAAAGAGATTTGCTATTTTCTACCCTTAATACAAGTTGCTGGATGCTTCAGAGAACAGGAAAATTCACGTTCCAAACAGCAAAATGGAACAAATAAGTGAGGGTGTCCACTGTCCTGTGTGGTACAAACTGTGTATGGCCACAAAGATTGGGAGGCAAAGGACTGGCGGAAGGGAAGATCATGTGAATTGCAAAACAAAAGCAAAGGTCAGTGATGAGTGTTCACAGTGTGCTTCCTCTCTGTGCTGCAGGCAGTGGTGCAGGCCTGGGGATGGTTCCTCACTCTGCCTCTCTGGTTTCTTCCAGATGTTGTTCTTACGCATTAACGCAAGCTACAAACTTCACCTGAAGAGGCAGCTGGCTCACCTCAACGTAGTCAATGATGGAGGACCTCTCAACGGGTAGGTTTGGGCACTTGGGTTTTTACTGCTTAACTTAGGTAAGCTTTGTCTTCTGCAAGAAGTTGTGATTGCAGAATCATAGAATCACAGAATGGTTTGGGTGGGAAAGGACCTTAAGATCATCTATTCCCACCCCCCCTGCCATGAGCAGGGACACCATGCTCCGTGTTTTAGTATGTCCCATCTGGAGCTTCCTTATGGCAAAGGATGCGACTTGTGCTTCTGTAACTAGGAATGCAGACGGCTTAGTAATCGACTGGGAGTTGGGCATTGTCCTGCTGGAAACCTGCTGTAGGTTTCCTCATTTGTGGATTGCTTTTTCTCCTCTTGTGACAGCTGTAGCCACAGTTTAATTTGCAGGAATTGCATGATTCATGAAGCAGTTTTGAAACGTGGAGGATGAATCACGGCGCTAGCAAAGTAAATATAGGAAATGGTATTTCATCTGTGCCATGGGCAGCTTCTCTACTGGAACTGTTTTCTCAGTAGAACTACATTGGAAACAGAGATGATGCTCACAGAGCTCTTCCCCTTGCCCAGCCCTCTATCACCACACTGGTCAGTGGTGCCTCTCCTGGGAGGACGTGGCTGGCTGTGCCTGGTGTCCTACTCCTCCCAGGAGAGCCACCAGTCTCCTGCAACCTTAGTCCTGCTGTAAGTTGGGTTGTCCCCTGGAACAAAGGGGTTTATAGTTGTTCTTAATGAGTTGGCAGTGCTTATTTGGAGTGTAGTAAGGGTGGAATTCAGTTGGACTACCACATGTGAGAAGGCATTGTCTTAGGCTGAAGAAGCCAGAGAGGGAAGCTTATAAATGTTTCAGATGTTGCTGTGATAAAGAAGAGGGCCACGAAGATGATCAAAGGGCTGGAACACGTCTCTTATGAAGACAGACTGGGAGAGCTGGGCTTGTTCAGCCTGGAGAAGGGAAGACCTTACAAGCTTTCCAGTACCCTAAAGGGGCCTACAAGAAATCCAGAGAGGGACTTCTACAAGGGTGTGTAGGGACAGGACAAGGGGGAATGGCTTTAAACTGACAGAGGGGAGATTGAGATGAGATC